ATGAATTAATGTTGTGTCAACTAGAAGCACAGGTTTTAGAACCAGCAAGCATTACGCCATTTTGCTTGAATCCTTAAGTGATCTTTGCCTTAAAGTAGGCTTTTGTTTGTCGGTGATTCCATTTAGCAGTGCTTCTAATGTACTTTCTACAAGAAATGCTGCGCTGGTGTACACAAGTCTCTAGAACATTTAGGTGGAGAAAGGCAATCGGATACTTCGACTGCGTTTAAACTACTTGGCTAGGTCAGAGCACGTACTGCTTTGAGCTTAATCCGTTTTATTAAAATAATTTTTAGCTCGTGTTTATCAAAAGCACGTTCTAAAGCAGTTCAATTTAGCCATAAACGCCTGTATTCTGTATTTAATATAGCTCGTACTGCATATACCAACCGTTACGTACTCATCATATGGAAATATTTATTGAAAAGCATCACACTTTTAAAACCACGGTTTAAATAAAACTCCTGTGTGTAAAACTTGGGTATTTTACAAGACAGTGCACTGTCGTTCGGAAAGTGTTTGACAGTCACATGAGAAAGCAAATTATTTTACAACTAAAAACGTTAATAATTGCTTTTAAAAGTGATCTTTGCTTTGTAAGTAGTAATGCTGCGCTGATAACAAGTTTCTAGAATATTCAGGTGCACATGCAATCGGATACTTCAAGTCACGCTGTATTTTGGCAAGTCAGTACACAATGAACCGTTCAAAGAGATTTATATGTTTTTATTTTTGATTATTGAACTGTCTTTTCTACACTAATTCAATTCATCCATGAGCTCGCTCCTAGGAGCCTTTGATTACATATAGCGGCAGAGTCAGTTGGTGAACCAGTACAATTTTGAAGAAAATGGAATTGGACGGACTGTCATCTCATTCAGATACATTTGTTTTGTGATAAGGAGAGTGATTTCCCGAACGAGTACAAACTCATTTCATTGGTCATTTGTCCTTGTGACCGTTTCTCCTGCTGTAGGTGGAGCTAGAGTTGTGACAACACGCATTCTTTGTCTGTTCGTCCTTGCGACCCTCTCTCCTGCTGTAGGTGGGGCTAGAGTTGTGACAACGAGCATTCTTTGTTCGTCCTTGCGACCCTCTCTCCTGCCATTAGGTGGGGCTAGAGTTGTGACAACGAGCATTCCTTGTTTCTTCGTCCTTGCGACCCTCTCTCCCGCTGTAGTTGGGGCTAGAGTTGTGACAACGAGCATTCTTTTACTTTTGGTGTAAGGCTTCTGACGATGGGTGCTGTTAGCTTGGCCTTATTATCAGTTATTTGTCCTTCTCAACTTTTTTTAAAAATTATTTACCCCTTTTTTGTTTTGTTTCAACTAGGGTAACCGTCTCAGAGCTGTTTTAATAAATTCCTAAATAACTTTCTTGTTTAATTGTAAGACATGGTTATAAGTTTACTGCTGATGTGTGTACAATTGTCTTCATTTTTTGTGCTATTTTACAATGATTGTTGTGCAAGTTGCAGATGTAGTATGGATTGCAAATACTGATCCATGCTTTATGCAGTACATTTATGTAAATTTTTTAAATCTTTACTAGAAATTGCATGTTTCAATTATAACTGTATTTAATGCGGTTAAAGAAGCTCAACCGTTTAGAACCAAGAAGTAAAATGTTCTAGCCCTTATTCAGTATAAAGAGCAGTTAATGAGGAGCTCTGTTTTAAGGAAAAAGCTTTAAACAGACAAGAAGAGAAGTGCAATTTCAACCATGTTTTCAGAAAATATAACCAAATTTGGGAAAAGTTGATTTAATTAAACCTCTCTATATGCCGGTAATGGATGATGTCGATAGGAACATTCCATTCATTCTTAAACAAAAAAACCACTTGTTTGTTGTAATTATATTTTACACCTCTTTCAGCTGGATTTAGTAGGTTTTCTTTAATATTCATCTTATGGTTCTTATTTTCCTTGTTTTAGATTCAAGTGTTTTAGGTTTTTTGTGGAAGCACCAACTGCAGAACAAACTTATCGGGGTATAAAGGAAAGGTATCTTAAGGTTGCCAATAGTCACAATAAAGTGTTATATCTGCATGTTCTTGGTAAATGCATTCTTTTCGTCCATCTTACATAATAGTGTTACACGACTGTTAAAAAATTCTTAATTAAAACATTTGGGTTTTGGCGGAGCGCGAGTTCACCGTTGTCAAAACCTATTAAACAGCCTGATGTATTATATTCAAGTTGAGTCTAAGTTGGACTGATTAGGATTCACAAAAGGTACATCTAGGGAAGGCTTAGTGACGTTCCTTTTTCATTACCATTGTAGTTGTTGTTATTCTTGGTTGACAAGCGAGAGATAAGGCTGTGCGTTATTTATTTTTACCGTATATACTTGAATCAGCGCCGCAATTTCCAAGCAACCCTGCGGCGCTTATTTGAATACAGTTTTTTTTTTCCGGCTGGCTGGTAAACATAGAAAAGACCGCTCAGCTGGCTGGGAGAATAGCCATCTAACCTGCTGGGAGTGAGGAACAGATAAATTCTTTCCAGCAACACAGAAAAGTGCTTGAAAATGCCTTAAAAGCGTCTAAATTTTCGTGTTCTGTAGTTTACGGCTCATTTTCAGAAATATATTCGTTGGGTGCCCCTGGATGACAAAAAACAGGAAAAGGGTACCAGCAAAGGTTTTTGACATATATTTTCTTTGGAGATCTGTACATCAGTTTTAGGGTCCAGGCCTGCCTTGTTAAAGGCTTCAAGAAAGTTAAAAGCTGTGCTTTTATTTCCATTTAATTCAGACTTAAAACTTTCATGGTTATATTAGAAATGGGACATTTCTAGGCACATTTAATGTTTTGTCTTTTATACTGACAAATTAATTATAATTAGTAAAATAGTAGACAGTTACAACAGGGTTCTTGTTAAGTTTTAAAGCCATGACAGCAGGATGTAAAGGTAGGAAACCAGCTCAGGTATTTTCAGACCTTACCAATTTCCCCAAAACGTAGCTCTTAATGAGAACTTTGCGTGATCATGAGTTATCATAAATTTTTAACTTTACATGTTTGTATGTTATAAATTATTACTTCCTGCTGGCACACTTATTTTTTATGCCTATTATTAACTACATGGTGAAAACCTTATGTGTTGGAAAATGTTTGCATCAAAAAATATATTGAAGTTTTGAATATATGAAAATCATGTATGTTATCATGATCAATTAAAGCACCATATGAATTTCCTATAGTACATTATATTTATCATTTAGATTAGTTCAATTCTAAATGTACTTGTATGTGACTAATTGGTTGTTGCAAAATAAAGCGTTTATCTTATAACTTATTAGAGACTGTGCAATAATTGCCTGGAGAGGGGTTGGAAAATTAGAGGGGGGAGCATGTGAGAAAATGACAACAAGAGAGAGGGGGGGTTGGATGTAAAATTTCATGCATACAGGAGGGGCATTACTTCTTCATTCCTTTTTGCAAACTGGAAAAGTAGTGGAAGAGTTATTACAGTTTAAATATAAATACCAACATTGGAATAAAAATAACAAATTTATCGACTCTAAGGTGTTCTGATCTATGAACTATTGTTTTCCTATCTGTCATGCAGTAGGAAAGGAATTCCTCTGTTATAGATGTTAAAACAGAACTACTTTATTTGCACTATGATTTAATGAAACAGGAAACTTTAATTAAAAGTTGCAAAAGTAGCACTATAATGTTATTCAGTGAAAAAGAAAGATGCCAATGTAAGCACACATGGCGTCATAATTTAGCAGAATGAAAAACCCAACTGTTGAAATTTTAATAGCAATACAAATTTAAAGTATGGTAAATAAAACACAGTATGATTAAATTAAGCTTTAAAAAAAAGGTCAATCAGACAGGAATTCCTGATTAGTAAACTAGGTATGAGGGAATCAATAGGGGAGACTTTTTTTCAAGGGGGGGGAGGGGGGGGGTTAGCCTTAATATTATCATTATGTCAGGGTGGGTTAAAACTAATTTTTGCTTAATGAGAGGGGGTATGACTTAGTTTTGGGGCATATTTCACCAATTTCCCAACCCCCCTCCAGGTAATAATTGCACAGTCCCTTATTGCTTTATTTATTTTTTCAATAATTTACTCACGATAATTTATATTTATAAATATTTTAACATTGCAATTGAGTAACAAATTGAACTATATATTATACACGTATTATCAGTACTTAATAACAAAATCCATCCAGTGGTCTATTATCAATGCCGCGTTCTGACTGGTTGAGCTACTACTAGGTTAAATGTTATAGCCCACTATTTTTGGCGGCCAAAATGATTAAAGTCTAGCTTTCACTAGCTAAAGTTGTTTTGTCTCCATATTTTTGATCAACTAGTTTCATTTTAATAAAACTATTATTCCTGTCTCTCTCATGGCCTCTGGGGCATGCATGAGTCAATATTACCCCATGAGGCCCCTGGCTATTGACTCAAAGCCCATTCGGGCCCGAGGAATGTTTGTTAAGTAGTCGAAAAACATTTAACCTAAAATGTAATTCTGACGGCTTATGTAATGATTATGGGTTTCATTCGGCTCCATGCGTATTTTATTATATCTATTAATAATTATATACTGTGGAATGGACAATTTTCATTGTAGTTTCACACCCGAGGGTCTCCTACTCATCTCTGTCTATTTCACATCTTTTTCATGCTCTTCAACAGTGTGAAACACCATTTGAAAGGGAACACCCTTTTCACATGATTTCCACAGGATTTTCACATAATTTGTGAAATACCATGTGAAATCTCAAGTGAAAATAATGTGAAGCTTTCACAAAATTTCCACTGAGTTTTCACGTGATCACTTCCAGTAGTGGGAGACCTTATTTGTTTTCCTAGTGCATCCCCCAAAGTTTAAATAGAGATCATGCCCATACATTGTATGCTTGGAAACCTTAAAAGCTGGTACAATGATAAATTATTATTAACTAACAATTTACATACCCATATAACCACCTTTTACCTTAAATGAAGAAAATGTTAAATTAATACTTACTTGAGCTGATTTTTCTTTCACCACATCAGAATATTCATGGGGAATATGCTTTACAACAAGGTCTTTAAGTTGGGACAATGCGGGGATATTCCTTACAACTGCAGGTGTTTCTAGGGCAGTTATGTTGTGGAGATATGCTTCGTTGTCTTCAGGCGACAGCAAAAATTCTACATTCTCCAATTCAAGAACAGACTTGACAAGATTGTCATTGGATAGATGGTTTACCAACACACGATTTTTCACAGCATTTGAGTTAAACCAGTGTATGCTATTGTTTTGACTGGATGCTGACATGTGTTCCACTTTCACCATAAGATCCAAGTTATCAGCCATAATTTGGAATGTTGGGGGATGTTGAAGTAACACCTTTTCCTCCAACTCCTTCAATGACTCAAGACATAAAGGCATTTTCGTTTTCACTATTTCACCCACGAGAGAATCAAAAACGTGCTTGTCAAAACTGTTACCCACTTTTAGTCGCACTCTTTCCTTAACCTCGTCGACTTCAAGTGATGCACCAGCAGCCATGTCAGCATCCAGTATGACGTCATCACCATGACTATTTGACAAAACTGAAAGAAAGGTTAGGCCAATGTCTGCGATACTGATAGCTGCTATGCCCTCGGGTATTATTTCGATTTCTGCCTCTTCAGCTACTTAAGTTATGGTTGACAATACTTTTTCCTTCTTGCAGCTGTGCTCAAGGTTACTTGTACACTCACACCAACTTATCAAAGTCGTGGCCAAACTCATCAATCTTTTTCGCAAACGAATGCACCTCTTGTAAAACTACAAGCAGAAATATTTACTTTTTGGAAGATAAATGGTAGTGATCTTGATACACTAATTTCTTGTTGTTCTATTTTTTGCATGGTCTATTTAAGCCACATCGAACAATCTACAATACAAACGATAAAATTATTATGGAACTGAACATTAATAATAAAAGTTGTGCCCAACAAGTTAAAATAGACAGAACTTATAAAACTGACTGTAAGTCATGGACTACATGACACCTTAAAGGGAATAATTCTGAGCGAAGCTCGGCGCTTCGTGAGGTTTATAATCTCGTCGTGCGCGAAGCGCACGTTTCCCACGAGGATCGCAAAGGCAGCATGATTTTCTGTTAGCTATAAATCTATCGAGTTTGGTTGGTGTCCACCTTGACGTCATCCAGAGTACAGACGTCAAAGCGCATTATGGGTTTCCAGGCAACCGACTGCCATCGATGGCATGTGTAGGCAGCACTTTCATGTTTTATTCATGACAAACTGACGGGCTTTCGATCTGTGAATTACGACAATGTTTACGGCGGTCAATCACCACCAATACCTTGGGCAAATGAAAGACAACAGCAAATTCAACAACCTTGGATTCAAGAAGTGGCTGGAAATCATCGCCTAGGGAGATTTACCAACGAAACTCTGGAAGAGCGAGAACGGCGGCTTGAAATCCAAGGCGAACAGCAGCGACGAAGGTGACAAAAAGAAACCGTGGATCAGCGAGAACGTCGTTTAGCCCAACAAAGGCAACGCCATCCCCAGGAGACAGAGGAACAGCGGAACAGGAGACTTGAAAATCAGCGGCGAAGCCGTCAGCAGGAGACAGAGGAGCAGGATGGAGTATCAGAGGCATTATCAAGGTAAGCGTAGATTAAGTGTCAATAATCTAAGTAACATAACCTTAAGTAATGAAGGGCCATTAAGTCACGAAACACCTCAACAACGCCGTCCGAATTCAGAACGAAAGCAATGAGGAGAGGGAACAACGACTACGAGTTTTAAGACAGAATGATGCTGTGCGACTTAATGCGAGGCGCCAAGAACTGCACGATCTGCAAGATTCGCAGAAGGAATACCTTTTAAATGCATGGCGAACTGCCGAGTAACCTTTACACCAGAAACAATGGGTTCAGAATGAGATGGACAAAATTCATAGTTGTATTAACAGTTTAGAACACCGACGATGTGTCACACGCAAGGAAACTTGGCCTACAAAACAGGGTTTAAGCCTTGCAAGGTTTGAATGTTTAAGGTGTAAACAGGATAAGGGAAACCCTAAATTATAATCCCAAGAAAATGATATGGATCCAGGTGCATTACCGTTACAACTTCAAGGGCTCACTGATATTGAAGAAATGCTACTCGCCAGAGCTTGCCCAGTTATGTGCGTATACCGTAAACATGGGGGTCAACGGGGTTACAGAGGGCATGTTTTAAATCTTCCCCAAGAGATTCAGCGTTTTCTTAATAGGCTTCCACGTAATATTGCACATAATTCGAAGGCATGGAACTGACAACACACACACAGGGATTGTACAGTCAGAAGACAGAAAGTGCTCCAGGCTATAATGTGGCTTAAAGCGAACAATCCAATCCAGGTGGAGGATCCAGAGTCAAGTGAAGAGTAAGATGACCA